CTTCGTCTCAATACTACTACCTATGCTAGAGTAGGGCTCTCCCACGTATTGTCCTATCACCCGGGGCGAGGTAGAAAAGATTGAGCGAGTACATCATGTAGCCACCAGCCTGATTCCCAACTTACGAGGTGTGCCGTACGAAGACCGGTGTAGGAAACTAGACCTGTACACCCTAGCTTATTGTCGAATGCGGGTTGACCTCATCATGACGCACCGGATATTACCTCGATTAGATTACCCCATGTTGAGGCCACTGCTTCATCTGCGCACACCAAGCAGCACACGAGGACACCGGTACAAGCTTGTCGTACCGGATTTGAAGCGGGTCGCTCACCAACTCTGTTTCGAACGCAGAGTGATGAATGTATGGAACGACCTGCTGTAGCACGCAGTTGAGGCAAAGACGGTGACGGAATTTAAGAAATTCCCGGACAAACACTTTGCCGATATAACATATATTGAGCGGAACACAACATTACGGGTCTTTGTCCCTGAGTGATATTAAATGCAGCTACACAGAGCAAACTCTACTTGCTGCTTCCAGCCAGTAATCATCATCAACATCACTATCGTCATCATTGTTATCATCATCATCTTCATCATCCTCACCGTCATATTCGTCATCAACATCGTTATCATCATCATTATTACCATCTTCATCATCCATCTTTATCATCATCATCATCATCGACCTCATCATCACTATCAACATCATTATCCTCATCAACATTCTCATCATCCTTATTTTTATTATTATCGTAATCATTATCATTCACTATACACGTTAGCTGGAGGTGGAAAATACCTGAGCTACTGTGCCGCAATGCATTAACGAAACAAAAAAGCCATACAAGAAATGCACGCCAGCTGAGCTACCGGTACACGGATGAGCATCGTTCCGGAAGGCTACCAACCGGCTACTATACAGCAAAAATAATTTGTATTAAGCAAATTTTGTATTATGGTAAGAGATGAGATCGCGATTGGATGGTGGAAGCTAAGCGGGATGGGGGAGGGACCAAGAAACTCACAGCACGAACGCCATTGAGGTCGGCCCCAAGCCATATCAGCAAGTGTATCTAGCAAAACGTGTTCCTCATACTTCGTATCCCAACCAGGCGCTCGAGAGGCTCCAATCGAGGCCAACGTCGAAGTAAGGTCCTTCATTCCTCTTGACCAAGTCATAGCTTTTCCACGCCTCCTCTTCTTTCATCCAAACCCCCGGCACATAAACAACGCACATCCCGGGAGTCAGTGGGCTGGCATGCGCAACTTGTGGTCGAGCGCTCGGAGCCTAGTGCGTGAAATAATGGTGCTGAGCGATTCAATTCCTTTTCCTGCGCCATAAACATGGCATCGCACGTGCTCGTTGCTCACGCGGTGTTGCCACCAGATGTGAGCTAAACTGCCTAGGTACCGGTGCTCGAACGTAACTAGGCTCCTTATGTCGGCTGATCTAATGGACCAGGTTTTACAGCCGTAGAGTTGAATGGACGGCTGCATTATGCAATCTACGGTAAGGAAAGAGAGAACAATACCTTGTAAGACCCCGTAATTGGCTGGGATCGCGGCAAATCTTCTACCGAATGGCTGCGGCGTATTGCTGGTGCCATTTTTCTTTGTATTACATTCTCACTAACTTCTTGCTTTTTCTATCAGTCTTTACGGTTTAGAACGGGCTTTTGCTAGCAGCGTCGTTGTGATTGCATAACGACGAAGCAAAGTAGAAGGTAACAGCGTCTGCTACTACTTCTGTGTTAGCGTTGTTGCTCTTATGGTTGTACAACGTTCTAATGAACTACGAAAAAGTTACCAGGACTCCCTTAGTTGAACAATGAACAATGATTTATGACGGGTAAAAAAGCAGGTGCTTGACATGTCCCGTAAGGTGGAGAGCGTGACAAAAAAGATAGCTAAGGGATAATGTTGTCAGTTCGGGCGCTTACAGATGTAACTGCATTTTCGTATAAAGGGGGTTCGAAAGGAGAATGTACGCACACAAAGCAACAGGAGAGTGGTTATTGTTCACATCATAGGCGAGAAAAATTAAAAAAAAACGATAGCAAGGACAACGCTTACTTGTGTGCGATTATTGTTGGTCGACAGGATACAGAAATCCAGTGTCTATAGTAGTAGCGTTTAGTAAATTTCGTGCAAGGCGTTTGGAGTGACTCGCTCTCAAGTAGGGTTATGGCCCTATCCACTGTCGGTTGCCATTAGTGCCAGCATCTGGTGGTCATGAGCTATAGCACATAGTGAAAATGTGATAGGGTATCGTCAAGGCGTTTTTTGAAAAGGTATAGGGTGGGAGCATTAATTACATGTTCGGGGAGGGCGTTCCAAGGCTGTGCCACTCGAAGGGAAAAATAGTTTCGCCGACATTCCAGGCGGCTGTACTGCGTGACTAACTTAAACTGGTGACCTCTTAGCGAGGTGTTTTGACTGAGTATTAGAAGGAATGGCATGGGTGGTTGGGGTCTCTCAGAATTAGGTACACCATTATGAGATCGCCCCTTAGCCGCCGATAACGTCCGCTGTAGATTTTAAGGGTCTTCAGCCTGAGTGGGTAGGGGAGGCTGGTCAAACCTCTGATGCTCTTCGTTGCCCTACGCTGTGCAATATCGAGCGCGGTGAGATGGTGCTTGAGCCAGGGTTGCCACGCTTGGATAGCGTATTCCGCGTGCGGCCTCACGTACGCACTAAGCATTTTTGGAAAGATCGAAGGATCAAACTTCCCGAAGGCTCTGCGAAGAAGGCCGAGGTACTGGTTTGCTTTCTTAGCTGCCTTTTCAGTCTGCCTCGAACAACCGAGGCCATCTTGAACTATCACCCCGAGATCGCACTCGTGAGAAGCTCGCTGTAGAATTTTTGGTCCTAGGCGGTAGCAGTGCAAACTCTTGTGTCGTATACTGAGAACCTTGCACTTGGTGACGTTGAAATGCAGCATGTTGTCGATGGACCATGTGTACGCTTTGTCCAGGTCCTCTTGTAACAATGCGTGATCCTCCACTTCAGCTATAGTGCGCCATACCTTTAGGTCATCAGCAAATAGCAAGCAGTTAGAAGACAGCACACTCGCGAAATCATTTATGAAGACCAGGAACAGGCGAGGTCCAAGTACCGAGCCTTGAGGTACGCCGCACTGAACTTCGATGGATTCTGATAGGTTGCTCCTAACCCTAACATTCAGGTGACGTTGTAGGAGAAAGTCTCCTATCCAGCCCAGAACAGGATCGCCGATTCCATATTTCTGGAGTTTGTGGAGTAGAATGCGATGGTCTATGCGGTCGAATGCCTTTGAAAAATCCAAGTAGGCCGCGTCGATTCCAACACCAGCGTCCACAGATTCCGTCCAGTTTGCACGAGCAATCAAGAGATTAGTTGTACAGGAGCAATTTCTGCGAAATCCATGCTGTTACGGAACGAGAATTTGGTTGTTCTCCAGGTACCCCATTAAAGCCTCAGCTATAATGGACTCCGTAACCTTGGAGATCACAGGAAGGAGTGTTATCGGGCGATAATTTGCTGGATCAGCACGACTGCCACTTTTGTAGATAGGCGTGATGATTCCGTGCTTCCACATCGTGGGGACGTGCATCTCGTTCATACATCGTTGAAAGAAAATTGCTAATGGTCCTGCCAAACTCATGGCAGCAACTTTCAACGCCTTCGGTCGAATGCCGTCCGCACCCGGGGAGCTGAACTCGCGCAGAGACATCAGCCTCTTCAGTACAGCTGCGGAGGTAAACGATATGTGGTTTAGCCCTGATGGCGGCGTTATCTGCTTAGGCAGGATGTACGGTGATTGCTCGCTTTGGAAGGTACGGCCAAATTGTTGTCCAAGAAGATTGGCTGCCTCTTGTGCGGTTTGGGCTAAACCGTATGCTGTGTGCAGGGCAGGAATACCGCGCTTAACACGGCGCAAATTGTTTACGTGCCTGTATAGCAGCTTGGGATTGGAGCTAAACTTTTCCGCTAGACTTTGTTGGTTCTTAACTTTATCCTCTCGAACGAGTTTGACACAGTGGTTTCTGTGTATTGTGTAGACATCCCAGGTGTGATCGTTCGGGGAGGCTATATGGGTGTGCCATACCGAGTCCCTTAATGACATGCACTTACGTGTCCTGCTCCTTACGAAAGACTTCATCCTTTTGGTCCGGTAGCATTTGGTTTCAGATGTCCGTGCCACGAGCTTGGTGAATATGTTGACGAATTCACCGCAGGCCACCTCAGACGTTAATTCAGCTAAGAACGACCAGCTGGTTGCATCAATTAGGTCGGACAGGTCTTCATAGTTGGTTATGACACGATATTCCTCGGCATGCTCTTTAGGATAATCCGCGTAGCACATGTAATGAAACAATAGCGTCGCATGATCACTGCGGCCCAAAGGAGTATCGGTTATCACTCTCTCGACCATTAATTCTTCATTGGTGAATATTCGGTCCAAGATGGATGGTCTGTCAGTTCCCCTGAATCTGGTGGGCGTAGTGATGTGGCCATAAAGAGGATAGTCTGAAACCAGATCTTGCAAATCCGCTTTGAATTGCTCTCCTGGTGTGGCCTGGGATTCGAGGGCATGTAAGTTGAAGTCACCGGTGACTAGAATGTGACTGTACTTCCTGTTTATCACGTGCTTCAATGCAGCCATCAAATTGCAGTCCATCTCAGGAGTAGACGAGGGTGGGCGGTAAACAACAATCAATAGGCTAAGATCGTTGGTTGAGCCTTAGGTATTCGGTTGCTTCTCTCTATTTTATCTGTAGAACGCAAGCTGTCACACAAATGCTCCATTTTCACTCTTCTGGATTGTTCTTTTCATGTCGCAATGAAAAAATTACTGCAAGCGAATCCCTCAGCGGCATATTCACTTCACCGAAAGTAATTTCGACCCCGTAACACAGATTTAATCTACATAAATGTTTAGCAGTAGCTGTCCTATTTCCGTCTCTTAGTACCTTTTTGCATAATAATATCAATTTTGCTGTTTCTTTCAGCAGGTGTAGTGGGTATGGATTCCCTAGCGGCTCCTCTGATTCGCAAAATGCTTATCGGTCAAATGCTCCCCTCCGACCCTAACCGTACTCCCGTCTACGACAATACTCGACAAATTTGGACAGTCCAGACTGCCCAAGATCGTCCCTCCCAACTCTGTTGGAATCTGGTGTGGCTTCAAGGAACGGTAGTTGATCACTCACAGCCGGATTGCTTTGTACTCGACGATGCAACTGGACGGGTCCTTGTGGATTACAAAGCGGGCGAAAACCATGACAGCTTAAAGAAGCTGCGCGTCGGTGACTATGTGATCGTTATTGGTCGGTTAATGAAAATGCCTACGGAGTCTGCAGCTCCGCAATCGTGGCAGGTGTCTGCAAAAACTGTCACGCTAATCACAGATCAGTTCACTTCTGCAAGATCTGTGGATTCGCAATCGGACACAACTGATGTTCTTGGTGCTGCGGCAGCGGCGGAACTCTCATGGCCGCTGGAGGTGATGGATATGAGTCTAGTGTACTGAACGTGAACACTTCGCTTCGCACTCAGCAGACACAGTGTTACGGTTTTTTACGTTTTTTTGATTCAACTTCGTGGTATTACTACACTCCGGTTTTTCCTTTGCTTTTCCGTTTCGGGGTAGTTATTGGTGTGCGAACCTTGTTGAAGCACACTGCACACCTCAGCATATATCGCACGCTGAAGTTGGCAGTTTCTTCTCTCTTTCACTCCGTACCCATCGCCGAATGCACCTGCTCTGTATAACATGACGCTATCAGCCGCTTCTGCAAGTACTTCACGCTTTTGTTGTACTATTACGGGGCTGGGTCACACGATATCTGCTACGTAAGAACCGCAAGAAGTTATCTCTACTTGTTGGCACTAAGTCAATATACTAATAGCTCAGGTTGGGTGTTGAGCTGTTGACTTATTTACCGAGCTGGGCAATTTACTTTCAGGCATTTTGTCACCATCGAACGGAAATCTTCAGAGCGTATAGTAGTAGCGGTGGGTTTACTGGTAGACAAGTGGCTTCGAGCAAATCTGGTGCTGGATGTTATCGGCCACTTGATTACTCCTTATTAACATTTCAAAGGCTGTTCATCTTTTTTCAACTACATTGGTTGTTAACTGTTGTATTCCGGAATGCACGGTTACAACTGGTTGCAGCAAAACATTTGTGACGTGGGTAGGGTCCTTTCAATCCTACTGGCCGATCCGTTCAACGTCACTGGATTTTTGCTGCAACCAATTGTAACCGCCCAAGTATTCCCGATTACAATAGTTGAAAAAATATTAGTAGCTTCTGAAATGTAAATAAGCACCAACCAAGTGGCCTGCAGCATCCACACCGGGATTTTCTCGAAACCACTTGCCTACCAGCAAGCCCACCACTACTACTACTAATCGCTCTGATGATTTGGGTTCGACGGTGACAGAAGGATTGGAAACAAAGTGCTCGGCTCGGCGAACAAGTCAATACTTCATCGGTCCGTTTGCTTAACTAGGCAGGTACATCAAATTTGGTGGTCGCATAGGGTAGCAAATTATTGCCCACATTGTTAGGAATGCCGTTGTTCCTAAGCCTGAAGTACTTATGATGACGGCGCTATACAAGCCTATTAGGTGAGTGAATGGTTTGCAACACTGGTGATGCTAGCTGAGTAGGGGATTTAGTTGTGTTAATAACGTAGACGGAATCTTAGAGAGTTCTCAAGAGATCTACGAACCAAGCAGCATCAAGCTGCTTCCGGGTGACAGACTTCGCGATTCGGAGTACGCCGACGACATCATCGTAAGCTGCGATTCCTCAATGGCCGCCCGAAATATCTTGCGGAGGTTGGATGTGTCTGTCTCCCAGTTTGAAATGACCTACGCACCATCGGGATGCAGGGTCTTCCTGTAGAACTGCTTAGGCGCTGCTCCTACCCTTACCCTTCTAGGTCATTCATTGGAACTGGTGGACAAGTTTGTTTACCTCGGAAGCTACTTCAGCGCTAATGGTTTAACGGATGATGTCTCTATGCGCGTCTCCAAGACTCGGGTTGCTTTTGCCATTCTCTGGCGTCGAGGTGATCTGTGCCTATCTCTGAACGGCCGAGTTTACCATGCCACAGTGAGAACGGTCCTGCTCTACAGCTGCGACATTTGGCGTTTTCGCGCATAATATGTTGTTGTCGGAGCATTGCTGGTATAGGATGACAAAAGCAAAGTAATAATTATGTTCGACGGTGGACTTTCCTATCAGACAGCCTTTGCCGCCCACTGAACACCGTAATTTCTCTGCGCAGACTTCATTGACTTGGGCATGTTCTTCGCATGTCTACACATAGTTTACATCGTCGTGCCCTGTTCCCTCAAGCATAAGTCGGCTGGAAGCGAAAGCAAGGTGGTCAACGTATGACTTGGCCCACAATTAAAAAGCAGCTAACGTCAAAGTTAGCCGCAGTTGGACGCTTTCGGCTCCCTGGCTGGAGTGTGAAGGATCACTAACACGCATGGCTGGAAACCCTCTCGGATATGGAAAGAAATCGTGCACAATGGTGGGCTTGTTGTGACTCTCTATTCCCATGAACACCGGGATTTTTCCTCTCTCCTCGTATGTCTGTTGTATTTTAAATACGTTGTGGCACTATGACGATTGTACTATTGACCGTTTGAAGATATATATATATATATATATATATATATATATATATATACAGATATATATATATTTAACGTAAAGCGCAATACCTTCTTCTGATAACTTGCCAGCGGCCTGAAAACTTCTTACTTCACTGGGATTTAACTAGTATGAATAATGATATGAAACTCTTCACTTACTGAGCACGCATTTTCCTGGGGTTTGTTATTACCCTAGTTGCGTGGGTTGTTCTCCTTGTCAGCTTCACTATTTGAGCTATGACATCCAAACAGCTTAGCAGTAGCTGTTCCTACATCTTACGACAGAAAGAAGGCATCCTTACTGGATTACGGTACTGACAGAGTAGAGCTATCCCCGTTTATCCCTGCGATGCTGAACTGTGGCCGAAGGGGCAAGCCTTGTCCAAAATGACGTGTTAAACGCAGTCAGACTGGAACTGTAAAAAGACCTCAGACCATGGTCATATTTATAAGTCGCCTCACGACCTTCGACTTCTAGAATTAAAAGATCAACTGCCAAAATTAGCAGTGCCACACTGATCCAGCCAATCTTCAGGAAAATATCGGTAACGGCCAAGTGTTGTAGCATTCCAATAAGTTCGAAATGGATGCGAGAATCGATTGCAATCGATGAACCACTGACGTAATGGTTTTTCCGGGAAATTCTTATTTTCACCCGGACGTTGCTTAAAACATGGTAATCGGTATGGTCCATAACCGGATTTTCAATTGGTAGTTGAGTAAAATCAGTTGCGTCAAAGTTTGCATCCTGTTCAATTTCTGATCGGGTGTCAACATCTTTGGCACCCAGCTTGTAGTCAGCTTTATCATCCCCAAGATGTTCGTTAAAAAGCATGTCCTCAGCCATAACTGATGCCCATAGTCTTAGCTACCTGAGTAGATAAGCTTGCAACATTCGTTGAAGTACTTCCACTTGAGCATCCCACGTCAAAGATTTTGGGAGTCCAGACCGTGGCTCAGTGCTGTCCCTGTCAGTCCAGATATTCGCAGCCCAATGCTGAACAGTGGAATAAGAAGGGGAGTCGTCGGCAAATGTGTCTAGACCATAACAGTATCGATTCCCTTTGGCGCCACACCCTTTTTCCACAGGTACTTGAAACAGCTCGATTTTCAAATTGGTGCATTTTTAGAAGTTGAGCAACCAAGGTCAATTCAATGGATCATCGCCTGCAAGAAAATAACGATAGGAACTTGAGGTTTGGCATTGAAACTTCCAGGATATGAGACTAATATAGAATAGTCTTACCTTTTATTCAGTTTGTTTGCTTCTTGGTCGGGCAGAGATCTTTTTGATCAACCTTCGTGTAGGGCAGCGGAAGCCAACGACTAGTCGGAAACCAGAAAAATAACTAAAACGAGCTAGTAGGGAAGTACTAACAGACGCGACAGATAAGACGGCACAAGGTTCTGCGAGCCTTGCGAATCGAGCCGACAGCGGATCACGAGTGGCATCCTGTAACGAAGCTGGGTCCAAAACAACGGAGAAGGAATTTGTCAAGTACGCAATGAATCAGTGGAGGATTGTAAGAAATAATGGAAATCAACCTAGTTCGGAATAGTCGGAATTGAAATAGACTTAGTTCAGACCCAGAGCTAGCGTTAACACGGAAGTAATGACGCACAGTGAACGCACGTGGAAATCGTCTTGACCAATTTGAAATTGCGCGATCTAATAAGGTACACTAAAATAAATACAACAAAATATTATTCAAGAACAATAACCACATTCACCACAGTTTAAACGAAGTTGTGTGCTGTTGTAGTTTCGGTGTTCTTTGTTCTTCTAGCGTCCGGATCTTCGTGGTTGCTCCGGCGGACTTTTCTGCGATTCTTCACACACATCGGGCTTTTCTGGAATGGACTCAGCTAAAGAAGGGTTAGGTACACACAAAATTTAAGGTCTGTTAGCTGTGACACAAAATCTGATCAAAGTGTCTACTGTGTAGGGACCCATCAGTTAGCTCAATTATTCGACACATTCGGGAACCGAGAGTACTGAGGATTATTCCACGGGATGTCCGGAGATGGCAGTTTGTTGTTTAAGCAAGCTTGCACATATGCTCAGTAGCTGCAACGCGTTCTGTCTACCACTTGCCGCGCTGTCTCAAAAGTTCGGTTTCCTTTTGAACATCCCTCGTATTTCTGTACAATACGTTAAAGAATATAACTATGTTATGCTTCATGCGGCCTAGCCAAAGCGGGTGGAGTCTGAGCTTATTACATATTTCAGAATGTTCCAGTTTTGAGGAAGCATCTAGAAAGCGTATATGAACGCTCTCTGTACTTGTTCCAGTGCAATGCAGTCGCACTTTGTTGAACTGCTATAACGTATTGAACAATATACCAATATGAGCCGAATAACTGATTTGTAAGTACTAAGTATTGATTCATGTAGGGAAAAGGTCCGGAATACCAATCCCATCTTCTAGCTTACCCTCGTGGTGGCATGTCCTACTTGTTCACGTAATTCGAGTGAGCACGAATATCGCAATCCCAGATCCATAACCGTAGGATAGAGATTAAGTGTTTGGTCATCAAGAGTTAGGCCACTATGAGTCGAATCGCACTTGTGAGACTGCACATCTGTCAGTCAAAAAAGACATTTTCCACTTTGGGCATCAGGTTTCAAGCGCAGAGGTCGCGTTGGATCATGTTAAGACCATTGGAGTCTTACGGAGGGAAAGTGTATATGACTTTAATGTCTCCTTTAGATGATATCATAACATATATTAAGAACGGTAGAGGCCTAAGGACATTTCCTTGTATCATACCACTGGTGACAGGTGTAGGTTCAGACTAGTATTCTTGTAGTTATACTACCTGCGTTCGATTTGTAAGGTATGGTCTAAACCAAGAAAGCAATGGTTCCCCGAGCCCGTACGACATCATTTCAACTGTAAATTTTTCATGTGACACCCGATCAAAATTCTTGTGCATGTCGAGATAAATCATAGTAACCGCGATAGCAAGATCATGCGAGATAGTTTTATTGTTTAGAAATTCGAGGTGACACGTACTGAAAGACCGATTTTTCAAGAAGCCGTGTTGTGAGTTGTTTGTTAGCGTTTTAGATAGTACGAATTCGACAGTGTTAGCTTGATATGTCGCTCCCTAATTTTTGATAAGA